GCCGGGAGGGCTGCTGCCTCCGGGGCGCCGGTACCTCGCTCTCTCCGCTCCAGGTACTCGGCCGCCTCCAGCAGCATCTGGATGTTCACACAGACCCGGGTCGCCGCCGCCATCTTACGCCACTGCCGGGGCCCTGCGCTCGCCCTGCCGCGGAACCTCACGGAGCAGCAGCTGCAACAGCCGGTCTCCACAGCCCGAATGTTTACCCCCCTCCCTCCTGCTCCGCTCTGACAGACCCCGGGCAACCAAACCCCCCCCCCGCCGCCGCCCGCAACCCAACCCACTGCCCCCTGCCAGCGCGGCGCTCATTGGATACCCAGAACCAACGCCCAGCCTCTCATTGGTCTGCTCAGATAAAGACCCGCCTCTCTCTGTTATCCTCACCTATGATTGGTCCTTTTGTCCATATTCCCGCCTCCTGAGTATAAGTCCGCCTCTTTTCTTTCATTGGCCCAGTAGCCTTAGGTCCCCGCCCATCCCTTCACTACCTCCTAATTGGCCAAACCTTAGGAAGCCCCGCCCTTTGTGCGGTCCAAAAGGACAACTGCTCTCACGGCCCCGCCCCTCTCTCCCCTTTGGAAGCTACGATTGGCTAGGACTTTCATTGTTCCGCCCCCCCCAGTCTTGTCCAATAAGCTTAGCCAACTATGCCCCACCCCTTCCCCCGTTTCTTACCTCTAATTGGTCAAGCCTTCCCAAAGGCCCTCTCTCTATTGTGTAAATCTCCCCCTTCGCAGCTTCAACCGTCCACTGGTTTGTTCCGTTGGAAGGAGCCAATCAGCGAGCAGCAAGGCCAAAGAGGCGGGGACAAAGCCCCCGGGGCCAGGTGTCAGGCTTCGGACCCTAACAATGCAGGGACCAGGAAATTCCAAAGGGCAATGCGGGGGGGGATGCAGGAAGGGGTTCAAGGGGGGAGACAAGAGGGATGCAGGGAGGGTGCAAGGGGCTGGATGCAAGGGGCAAGGTGCAGGGAGGGATGAAAGCTGGAGACAGCATGTAAGAGATAGGGAGGGTAGAAGGTCCAGGTGGCTGGATGCACTGGGGGATATAGCTGCAGACATGTGCAGTGTAACACTGATGATTAGACAAAACAAAAGGCCACCCGAAAAAAACAACCTATCCCCACCCTTTTACAACAGAACATCGCAGGACTCACGTGGGAGGGCTTTTGCATGATGTTTTGCAAGGCTTTAGTGCATCCCTCCCTTTCTATTATTCTCTAGGTATAGATCAGGAACTCCCCTCATTTTGTGCATCACTAGAACTGGCCCTTCAGGTTTTTTAGAACTGGTTGTCCAGGCTGCTTCTCCTTGCCCTGTGCTGATACGCCAGTACTACCTGCTTCACGCTCATGGGCACAAAGTCAGACCCGCTCTGGGGAAAAGGCTGCTTCAAACACTTCTGCCACAATCTGTGATTATTTAAGCTGAACTGCGCTGGTAACGGTGCATACAGTAGAACAGGGCATGATAGGCATGGAGAAGGCTCCAACTCAGTAAATTGGTTCAAACAATGAGCACACACTGATTATTGTCAGACCAGCCTCCCAAGAAACCACCTGTCACTGGGGGTTTGCAACTTGGCCCTAAATGATTCCTCTGGTATGAACTCTGACATATAAATCTAAACAGTAGTTTGACCATTTAACCTGACAACATAATAAAACATAGATTGCTGTACATGCTTGGTTTCTGTTCTTGAAAATCACGCCATGTCCTATCAGATCATGACTTCATGTACAAAGGAAGTGCACAAACAACTTTTACATGATCAGAAGTGACTGGCAGGTGTTCTCTTGCATACAGCATTCAGACAAGCAGGCTAACATTTGCCTCACTGACCATAACCGACACATGTAAATGAGGAACAACTACGTTTCAGATCCATTTTTAAAAAAACAATCAGTAAATGGAGTCATGAAAAGCAACCACAGAAAATAGCATGCAGTTGAAGCAGCAGAGAAAGGCAGGTTACCTCTGCCCTTTTGAAAGAGCAGGGGGAACTCACAACAGTCAAAGATCATCAATTTCCTCTTTCCAAATACCAGGGAGGAGCATGTCTGATGTTGCTGCAAATAGCTGAACTACCATTAAGTCACAGTTGTTTAGAGCAAACACGTCTACACAAAAACTTACTATGCCTGCCTTTTCTCCTTCTTTCCTGCTTGCTAGCCTCCACTTTTCCTATTTAATCTTAGTGTATTGGTCTTTTTCAGTGTCTGTATTCCCTCCAGCCTCATTTTGCTATTTTTCATCTAGTTCAAATATTTGCTTTCCCCTGAGACTCTTGCTAACCCCACAAAATTCTCTCTTTTCTAATTGTGCCTCTCTCCCCTCACCTATTCTTAGGTTTTTTCCTCCTGTGTATCCCAGCCTGTTCCCACCTTCTCTTCATTTCTACTTCTCCAGAGCACTGTCTACCTAACCCTCTAAAAATTTGTATGTTTTCTTCCAGCTGACAATGCTACACTTCCAATAACTCAGTAGTCTCCAGGATACCTAGTTAGGCAACATCAGAGTAGAGGCTCAATATTACTCTGATAGATAGTAGGAATATACATTCGTAAAGGTCCCTAGGAATCTGTTAACCATGTTGCCTGAATTGGGGGTTTCCCACTGTGACAGAGGGCATAGCAAACCCTCTTCTCTTATTATGAACATAATACCATGGCTTACAGTCCTTCAGTTTTTCCAAGGACAATGTCAGGCAAAGCTACATCTCAAAGCATGTGGCTAGTAGTGTTGGGGGATGGGGGGGGGTTGGGAGTACAATGTTAATTGCAGGTGGATTCCTGAAACACCTGGAATTAAGCTATTTTATATTGTTATAGAAGGATTGCTGGAGTTGCTTTAGCCCTAGCCCACACCTCACTGAGACATGCAGGACAATGATCTCCCAGAGAAGCATCACATGATTCTAATGCACAGAGAAGATAAGTTAGTGCTTGACGAGGAGCATTTGTTTCTGCACTGGTATGGAGTTCCTCAGGCAGCAGTCACCTCCCAGGTTTAGAGGTGAGGGTGAAGAATTCATCAACAAACCAGGACATGGTGTTCTAGGACAACCAGACACTTGCCAATGATTGTTTTTTAATCAATCAGTTAAGGATTTAAGGTAGTAATACTCTATTTCACATCCTAACTTGACATGGTTCAGGCAACCAGAGGGAATTTATTGGAGGTCAGCAAAAAAGAGGCCTCCCGCTATATTGTGCTAATCAAGACTTAGGGTAAGATAAAGCCTTGGAATAAAGACGTTGCCCTCACCTCTAGGCTGTTTTAATCTATGTTTGTCACAGGCCCAGTAGAAAACTGGAATCCTGCCTGAGATTAAGAATCAGGCATGAGCTTTAACAGAACATCTTCATCTCTGCTGTGGTTGTGTTTTGGGGTGGGGGAATATCATTGTCCTCATGTAAAACAGAATCTTCCCAATGGGAAAAAAAATTACAAAAGCCAGCACAAATTAGACAATGTTAGACATTTAGATTTTCTACAGGCTTTAGGTTCCTTACTGTGACCCAAAGTGCTGGACTTCTGTGTGCAGGATTCAGACATCATTCTCAGGGTTTGCATGTAAAATTCCAGATCTCTCTTTCCCCCCACATCTCTAAAAGAAATCCAACAAGGCATGATTTTATATGTTCAAGAATACACAGCAGAACCTGACAACACACATACAGCATCGCTCATAAATGCAGGTTCTTTTCAAGAGTGTTCAACAGACAAATCATTTTTTGGTCTTTGGTATTGTAAAGAAATTTCTGTAGGGTATTTTGGCGTGCCCTCTCCAGACTTCAGGGAGATATTTGAAGACACAAAGAATGCTTAGCCAACCAGCACCAACTGAAAATCAATCTAATTGAACACCTGAAACTTATTTGTGCCTTTGAAAATCTTCTTCCTCCTCATCTAATGACTGGCAGTTCTACATTGCAGGCTGTCAACTTCCTCAGTCTTCTGTTATATGCAGTACGATCTTTACTCACTGTTTTAAACAGGCTCTGGCCATACCTTTGTTTATTGGTTTTGCCTGCCCAATTTCAACAGTCTCCATTACCAGGGTTCACATTGTGCTTGGCACAAGTGTTTTCTGACTGCGTGGCATCCTACTAGTGTCAGGTCCCTACATTTATTTGTGTGGGCTGAATAAATCCTAATGCCATTCTAGGTCACTGGAGGGTTGCACATGTGACTTTAATCTGGATTGTTCCCGCTGTCAGATTAGTTGGGGGAAAGGAAAATATAAAATCATGTTTTGCTTGTCAATGGTCATGGAGACTATTGGAAAAGCTGTGATAAAATGTGAAGGATGGAGTAGCAGAGGGGCTTTAGGAAACAATCTCACCTGCCAAGGCATGAATACTTAGCTTGATTAAAAAAGAAAAACAGGTCATCTAAGGCAAAGGCTATTTGCTATCCAAGTCTCAGAGGTTAAAAGGTACATGAATGCAAGAGATTTTAACTATTTGCATAATGTGAGAGTTATCAAACTTTTGATCAGACATTCCCAAAACCTCAGTCCACAGACTACTGGTGGTTTAGGATCAGCTGCTGGTGGTTCAGAGACAGCAGACAGGTCCCACAGACAGAGGAGAGAGGAGATGAAGAATAATAGAGAGCAGGATTAATATTTTCCAAAGGACAAACACTGAACTAGGAAGAGCTAAAATACACGCAGCACTTTTCAAATGTTCCTTTGCCATGAAAGTAATGGCGGTATTTGCCACAGGGACGTTATGCAATCATGAATGGGAGAGGTGGTCTACATGACTGCACATGGGAGCAGAGGTGTTCATTAGGCGTTTTATGTCACATGGGCGTGTGGTCTACTCTACGAATAAGTTTTAAGCCGCCACTTGAAAAATTAGCCCTTCCATGTGCTGCCACCTGCTGGTATGTGTGTGAAATGGTACAGCAAATAAACCATGGCATCTGAAAATGGTTGTTTATAAAAATAATCTAGATGCATAGTAAGCAATGAAGGCGGAAGGCATTAAATGTTTCACCTCTGGGTCTTTAATATAACCCAGATTTACCTCCAAACTTTGCTCAGAGAAGCATCAGCCTCAAGAAGAATTTTAAGTAACAAATCTGTAAACAAATATGAAAACTGAGGAATATTCAAACACGTTACGTAAACTCACTGCAACCCTTTGACACTATGCTATTCTATCTTACTCGGTAGTTCTTGACAACTTTGATTATTAACTAGTAAGGAAAGGGATAAGTGAAAAGTAAGGGGGGGGGATCTTAAATTAGGAAAACAATTCTCTTTCAACATTCTCCCATGAGCACACTTTCAAAATAATTCTGTTTTAAACCCTCAACCAGATTTATCTTCACAGTGATTTATCCCTCTGTTTGACAGGCAAATAATTGCCCAGACATCTCCAGCAGCCTCTTCTCTGGTGCTTTATTCCTGAGCAACGCCATCATATTTTAATTCTGGGGTGGGGGTAAATATATACTGGTTTTTATTGTAACTGACAACATTTCGTTATTTTAAAAAACTCAGAGAAGAAATGAAAAAATACATCTAACAGGAAAGTCCTGACAGGGAACAAAACAGGCCTGAACATATTCAAACCCAACATTTCGAGAAAGCATCATTTTTACCCTCTCTTCCCTCTCTTTGCAGGCAAAGCAAGCGTTTCTGGACTCTCATAAATAAGCTGATTTCTTTTTACAGCGAGAAGCTGAGTTCCTGTCTCGGAGACCCCAGCACACACAAGTCACAGCGAGACAATAAAATATTAACCATTCGTGCTCCAGATGTCATTCTTCATAGGTAACAAGACTAGACATCAAGCAATAAAATCCAACGGTCTGTTGAATCCACCTTTTCTGTTCATGTACTGCCTGTGATGAGGGGAAAGAAATCAGCATAGTTAGAACTTAATTGTCTGTACTTGTGATGAGCTTTAGCAGCTCCAATCTACTCATATGGGATTGGTGTTTATTAAAGTGCTGGTGGAAATCCAGCACAGGTTGGCTGGGACAGAATGCTGCTCCCACTCTACGACAGCTTGTCCGTGCCTCATGTGACATGAGCTGGGTGTTCTCGGGAAATACCAAACAGGATTGGCACTAACTGGTATGTCTGCTGGGAGTCTTAGCGAAGAAGTCATGGTTGAATGAGCCATGGAGAACTCACCCAACCACTGGAGCTAATCACTACAATCAGGTCTACACCAGCAAACCCTTCATGTCTAGACTGAGCTTATATTGGCCACACACACACACACCAAAAAAAAAAAAAAAAGAGGGGGAGAGAGGAGAGAGGGAGGTCTTCACCAGTATAGCTTTTCCTGATGTAGTGATCAAAATAAGTTATACCGACAAAGGCACTTTTATGCCAGTACAACTGGATCTGCACTAGGGCTTTTGCCAGTTTAGAAATATTGGCAAAACAGATAGCACACTCCTGCTATATTGACAAAAGATTCTAGTGCAAACCTGGCTTATATCAGGCTCCGGCACACTGGTTCGGAAGCTTGCCATGCCTTTGCCAGGCTGTTTGTGTTCAGTGGCTAAAGGACTTCAGTCCGCAGGGCCATCAATACAGTATGTTTCACTGGTGCTTAAGTTTAACTTAGAGATGCACAGTGCACAAAAAAGAGAAGGTAGGCTACATTTTTCAGGCAGTTACAAGAAGCAGGGGGAGAAGAGTCCCAGTGACATTCTGTCCCACTCTAGCCAAGTGTTTACAGTGTGTTTACTGCCACAGCATCTGAGCTTCGTACAAAGTTACATATATTGAAACAGGGAGCAAGTGCACCTTTGTTCTTTGGTTCACTCCTCTCTCCATTAGCAATGGAGATTTAGAGAAACTAGAGGCAAGAAACATATCTGTTTCGAGTAGTGTATAGAAACACATTTGCTTTGAGTAGTGTATAACAACTGCTGAGGTGTAAAATCAACAAGCACTCCTCAATACAAATGAGAATGACCTCTCAGTCAATAATCCAAAAGACCGCCATACTTCTCACCAGGACTACAAAGCCTTCTCTGAATCAGATTGTCCTGGAAAAGAAATTATGTCTCCTCCAACATACCCATGCAGGCAGCAGATATTACAGCCTCCAAATCAGAGCAAGTCTGTCCAAGTGGTAGAAACACAAACCTGTACTTTCTCTTCTGTGACACGTTTATAGCATAGGCATTTACAGAGCCATCCACTTTCTTCCCCTGAAAGATACAATGGGAAAGAGAGCTCCAAAACTCAGTGTGTTTTACAGAGAACTGTTTAGGAAGAGGCATAGCAACACAAGGGCACAGATTGTGGAGCTGGGATCAACACATCTAACCCAGGGTATGTCACTCTTAGGCAAGCCAACTTGAAACCAGAGACCAGGTGGGTGAGGCAATGTCTTTTATGGGACCGACTTCTGCTGGCGAGAGAGACGCGCTTTCGAGCTTACACAGACTGAAGCCTACAGCAACACTGCATGTAAGCTGAAACCAGTTAGTACCAACTTTCTAGATCTTTGCTAGGTTAGTTTTACAACGCAGATGAATGGAACTAACAGAGCAAACCCCCTTTTCAGAAGCAACTAACTACAGACCTAATCACTTTCCAAAGGTCACACCATATCACAAAGCTCAGTGTTAACTCCCACCTGCTTCCATGGGGGTGCCGTGAAGAACAGTAGCAGGATACAGCTTTGTCTAACCAAGGCTGTAGCATGGATAGGAGGCACAGTTGGAACATGTTTTTATACACTGTACCCAGGCCTCCCCAGGGCTCTGAGTAAAAGGGGCCTTAGTACCCATCAGGAATAGGAAGGATGGTTTAGTGGATAGGGCACTTGTCTGTAATTCAGGAGACCTGGGCTCAATTTCTGGCTCAGCTGCAAGCTCCCTGTGTGACCCTGGGCAAGTCACTTAACCTCTGTGTGCCACAGTGCCTCATCTGTAAGACAGGGATGATACCACCCTACCCCCAGGGGAGTTCTGAGGGGCAAATAATGATTACAAGGTGCTATAACATGAGTGGTGCATAGACAGACACTACAGTTATGATTAATTAGCACCAATAGGGTAGTAAACACTATGACCAGTATTAAGTGTTTGCAGGATCACACTCTTAGGGAGAAGTATAGAGTCACGCTAAAGGACTGATCCAAGCTCTGCAACTAGAATTCCATATTGTGGGGCTGTAGCCAGGAGCTAGCAGATCAAAAGCAGTAGAGGCAAGCGACAAGAAAATAAAATCAGTACATCCGCATTTTTCCACAATAGAAGCCAATATAGGAAGCCCTGCTCCCTCGGAAACCCACAGGGTTTAACATCTCACCTGAAAGCCAGTACCATTAGAAGCACAGCACCACACTGGGGTATCTGTTCAAGATCCAGCACAACACCCCCTCTGTCCCAGCACAGCACTGACCTGGTCCCACCTTACTTGTCTTGTGAGGGCTCAAGGGCTCACAGCACAAGGGGGCAGAGCTGCCAATCATGACCAGTATGTTGAAGTCCTATGCTAATTCTGTATTATAAGATCAATACTGTCTCGCCTCTGTAGTTCCTATCAACAATACTCTTCTGATGCAATGTTTCAACACACTGATGAGTTATTTCTTGCTACTTACTGACAAACTGAAAAGCTGAGACACAGACCTGTAACATTGAGAGATTTAATATTACAGCAAAACAGCGAAACTTCCTCCATCCTCTTGTAAAGGATCTTCCTAAACTTACCAAGATAGCTTGGCTATACCCAAGAATGAATTGTAAATATAATCTGGAAGAAGGTCAGGACTTTTTACTTAAGTTCTATGGAACAGTCCACTCACTTTTGTTGTGTCAAAGGATCCAAAGCCCATTGTTTTCATCATCTCAATTTCCTCCTCTGTTTTGCCTTCCATATCTTCTTCTGAAAAGACAGAAAGATACAAGAGGGATATGAAATATAATACTAGGAAAAATTACCAGGCACCTGATGGAAACTTATTGAACATGCTGATTAGGAAGGTAGGGAATAAAGATTTGTGCGTATGACAAAACCACTATGTGTATTGCAAAACTGGCTCTTTGGTCTGACCAAACACAGCTCTGGAACAGAAAACTGGTCCAGGGGGTAGAGGAACAACGCAAGGTCAGATCTGGCCCAAAAATGGAGGTTTTGCAGATGTTTGTTTTTACAGTATCTAATGAAAATACTCCCAAGTTCCTTTGCTTTTAAATGCCAAAGAAAAACAAACATTCCCCTACAGTGTTTGCAACCCTTGTGCTAGCGGAGAACTGAGCAAAGAGAATGGCAAGAAGAGCACAGGGAAATTGAGATTTATTTTTAAATTCAGTCTTACTAATGTATTACACAGTACCACACGTGTGCACGATGTTTTACAGATGAATAGGAGTGCAAGATCCCAGCCCTCAGGAGCTTGCGACATAGCTAGACAGAGATATATAACTAGAAGCATACAATGACGGACGATTAAGGTGGGATATGGGAGGCAACAGAAAATGGAAGGGAAACTTCCTCTAGGGGAGACAATGTGGTTTCAATTTCTTTTTTGGTTTTTACACATATACTTGAGATCCTTTTTTTTAAAAGCAAAACTTAGCAAGTATCGCAGATGAGAGAGGAAAGTGAACTGCTTTGTTAGGAATGCAGATAAGAGCCACGCTGGTGCTTTGGATGGACTGCACAATACCAGGCAAACCACAACTACTCTGTATTTCAGTTCTGCCCCATTATACAGATGGGGAAAATTCCTTACCTCATCCTGTGCGTGCGCTGCCTAATTCATTAACATTTGTAAAGTGCTTAGAGATCCTCTTAGATTAAAGACACAGTCAGGCCTTAGATCTTGGGATCAGATCTGTAAGGACTGACTCTTCGGTCTTGCATGGAGTCCCTTTGCAGTTCATGGACCTCCATGAAGCTGCAAATGCCTGCCCCTGAAGAACCAATTGCAGAAATACTGGAGTTGCCAAATTCAATCAGACCCAAAGTCTATCTAGTTCCTGTCTTTGACAGTGGCCAGCACTAAATGCTTCAGAGGAAAATGCCAGAAACCCTACCGTAGGCAGCATGAGATGATCTGCCCTACATCCTAACTCCTACTAGTTAGTGACTGAATTGTGCCCTAAAGCACGAGGTTTCATATCTCTTCCAGAACAGTTTTTGTGCATTAACTATGACTAAGCACATGGAATAGGGCCTAGGAGGGCAAAGTATTATTAAAAAGGGTTGCGTGGGTCCAGGGCTCGGGTGCACTCGCAGATGGAAAAAGGATAATCGAGGGAAAATTTGACTAGCATCTGCCTTTAGTAATCCTGGTTTATGCAGTTGCAGAGGCCCTCACTTTCACAGGCATCTACTCCATTTACCAATTTTATTTAAGTCCAGTAGTTTTTAACTGGTTCTCTACGCATTAAGGTAAGATCAACGCAAAGCCCCAAGAGCCAGCTTTGCTTCCCAAGGTTAGGACTCTGCTCTGTTACCGGTGATCTGATGCTCTTTGCTTTTGGCATCTTTGTTTTCTTTCTTTTCATCGTCTCGCCTTTCCTTCTGCCGGGACGGTGAAGAAGAGCTGGATCTATGCCGCCTCGGGGACCTAGAATTTCACACAAGTACAGATTTCAATCTAACAACAAGAGAGGAAACTATTGCAGCAGTTAACACAGTAACAAGTGCTGGAGGTTGAATCTACAACAAACACTCAACTGCAATCCCACCTACAGCTTTACGTGTGACAGCAAGGAAGCAGAATAATGGTTATGTGGTGTTACAATGGCTGGCATTGTCTTAAACACAGGCAGAGGGGGCGCACAAGGAAACACTTGTTATCTGTTGTCTCATCTTACCCTTAGACTGTAAACTCTTTGGGGCAGGGACCATCTTTTTGTTCTGTGTTTGTACAGCACCTAGCACAATGGAGCCCTGACCCATGACAAGAGACCACAGGTGCTAATGCACTCCAAACAAATGAACAAATACAAGGAGGCATAATTTCATCACATTTGCTCTAGTTAAGTAAAGGACAATACAGGCTAAATATTAGTAAAGAGCCTCCTAACAGTGAGATCTGTCTGACTGTAGAATTGTTTTTTCCTCCCCTCAGCCTACCCAAAAACCATTTCCCACACCACGGAAAGGTAGTACCCTGTCACCTTGTTGATATCACAGTAAGAATTACACCAATAAGAACAGTGGGAGAATGGGGCTGTCAGCTAGAAGCTCTGCCTATTGGCTTCAGATAATTCAGATACTTTCTCACCTGGATCGCCTCCTGTGCGGGGAACGGGAACGACTCCTCCTCCTGTCCCTCTCCCGGGACCTCGAACGCTCCCGTCGCCTCCTCTCCCTCTCCCGGGAAGCAGAACGAGAGCGCCTACGTTCTGAAAGAAGCGGGGAGTGCTGATTAGTGTTGGCTAGCTGGAACTATCACCACCCTTGTTATAGCTTCAGTAAAGCCCTGTGTTTATAAGGGAATATCAGCCATGACTAAAACTAAAAAAAGGGGAGAAGGATTTCTTCCATCCCCTAAACCTCAAGACTTGCTCAGCGGTAAAGAGGATTGTCCTAAGAGCAACGAGAGCAGAGAAGGAAAGATGAGGAACGCACGACAGCACTCATTGCAAAATTCTGAGTTCAACTTTTCAGAGGCAAAGAAAAGGAAAACGGTTAAGGCTCTATTACCAACGCAGAAATAGGGACCATCCCTCCTAACAGACAAGATGCTGGTCAGCGAGCCGCTGCCACAGGGGGTTTGGATTCTAGGGCTGGCTCGTTTCCCTTCCTTTAACAGCCGGCCCCCTCCCTTTGCTTTGTGGTGCATCTCCCCTCCACCCTTGTATCAGGGTAGGGATCAGAGATCCCCTCTCCTGGAGGGAGGCAAAGCTCCTCTGTTACCCCCATATGCGAATAGGTCTCCCCGTTGCCCCGTTATCTGGCTTCATGGGGTCCCTCCCCTGGCTGCGGAGCGATCTCTAACTCATCCCCTGTACCAGGGCAGAGATCAGAGGAGTCCTGCCTTTCTGGGTGGGGGTAATACTCCCCCCCCCCCGACAAAGATCCAGTCTCTGGACGATGGGGCTAATGTCTCCCACACACCCTGGGCAAGGATTTAGACGCCTCCCCTCCTCTCTTGGTGAGGGGGGGGGGACTTCCACTGACCCCCAGGGCAAAGATCAAGGGCTCCTTCCCCCTACTCCAGGGAGGTGTTTCCCCCACCCCCCGCCGTAGGCCGCGGACCAGCGGTTCCCTCCCCCCAGGCGGACGGTGCATGTGAGACCGCCCCCCCCGCTCCTCCTCTATTGCAGGGGGCGCCCCGGTATCTCCGCCCCCTCCCCAGGCGCTCACCCCTCCGCGGGGGGGACCTGGAGCGGCTCCGGACCATCCCGCCGAGCCCGGACCCCGACGGCTCCCTCGGCCTCAGCCCCCAGCCGGCACGCACATCCGGCAGAAAAACCGTCCGCCGGGCACTTCCGGTGGGCCGTCCGTCCCCGCTCCGGCTCCGGCTGGGAACTCGCTCCGCCGCATGCTTGGTTCCGGGGCGATGGGGTTCCCCTGAGCCCCTCTTTGGGCTGGGGCGGGGCCCCTGGAGAGGCCCCGCAGGGCACAGTCTTGCCCTTATCCCCCCTCCCGCTGCACACCAACCACATGGCAGGGCCCAACCACGAGGGTTTGTCCCGAGTTGCAGTGCCCAGCCCATGTAGGCTCAGGGCCTGGCCCGGGTTGGAGTTAGACCCCAGCAGACCGCGAGTGTGGACACGGTGGGCGCCGCGGTTGCGTTGTTTGCACCAGCGCAGCTACCCCGGGGAGATCCCAGTGCCGACAGGACAAGATCCCAGCGTCCGCGCACCTCCCTGCTGAAGCCCCAGCGCAGCCCCCGCCACCCACGACGTGTTAACGCCCAAGCATTTGCCTCCATTTTGGGATCCCTCGTGCTGCCAGCTCAGCCCCAGCTCGTGCTCCGTGGCGCACGTGTCTTCTCCGTCGCTGCGTGCCAGCTGTTTTCACAACCACAAGGGCTTGCGCACAACATTTTACCTAGCTGCGCGCCGGGGGGGGCTGACTGATACCCAAGGGTATTGGTGATTGCACGTACGTGTGAGTCACAAGTCACACAACTCCGTCTTTCAGACACTGCCACTCATATTTTCATCACTCTCTTGCCCCCACCAAACGTTGTTTTCTTGTGCCGTGTGCTCATCGCTACTCCCGTGGCTCAAAGATGGCGTGGGTAATCAAGCCTTGACCCTCTTCGGTGTCAGGCTAGCTATGCAGCCTTTCCATCTAGCGAGGTTCTATGGAATTTATTCATTGTGTGTGTGTGCGCTTCTGAGATGAGACTTTAAGAACTGATAATACACTTAGTCCTGCCTTGAGTGCAGGGGACTGGACTAGATGGCCTCTCAAAGTCCCTTCCAGTTCTATGATTCTATGAACTGAGGCCTGTTTGCTCTGCCTAGACATTAGTCATCTCAGGGAACTTTTCAGAAGGGACAGGAATTGCATAAGTGTCCGTGGACACAATTTCCTTTCTCCCTGCTGTCTGCAGCATGCTGTGCGCCAGCTGTTGTCCTCCAGTTGTGAGGTAGTTGCATTTCAGGGGTGTTACATATGTAGGCACCCCGGGATCCTTCAGGCTAAGTGTAATCTTGAAGCATGAGAGGTCACAGGCCACGAAATGCTCCTTCTGTATATTACAACAAATTAGCTTAATTCCCAATGCTCCTTTCTCTTAAATGTGTTGGATTCTCACTTAATTCTCTACTCAGCTATGTTTTTTGTGATGCTTCTGAGTTCTCTCCTTCTCCTCCTACCACACCATAATTCCTTGCAGCCATTCCACCTTATATTTTGACCAGCACATTACATCTTGTAAGCAATCTAAGTAGCTTTGGGCTGGATCACTGTATTGGTGGGAGACATCCAAGGAGTATCTAAGATGCCGGTGATTCAGTAGGTGGTACTTTTCCCTGTGAAAGAGTAGTGAGACAATAACCCAGCATAGCATCAGGAGGTGCCATCTTTCAGTGAAGATATAAAACCCAAGGCTTGAATAACTGTGGGCATTAATACAATCAATTCATGTTACTTTGGGGGTGGTATCATATTCCAGCTGTGTTACATGGATTCTCTGAGCTGCTAATTTGGCAGCCTGGCAGAGAAAGACCCATATGAATTCCTACCGTCTTAAAGAAGGACAAATGGGACTACAGGGACTGGATACAGGGATCTTATGCACTGGTCAGATTGGGCTGGTTTATATCAACTTATCATGCTGGTATTTTCTCCAGGACTTCTGTCATGTGCTTTAGAATCTTCAGTTACCCGTAAAACAAAGGCTCTAGCCCTTAAAATTCCAAAGAGAACATTAAAAACGGGAACCAGATGTAAACCTGTGCCGTGATGTCTGCCTGAAATGCAGACAGCCTGAAAAAATGGTGTAAACTACCCTTAGTGAACCACAATGGAGGTGCAGTTCAATGATAGTAAGGTACGTCAACATTGCTGACTACTTCAGTGCTAGGCAAAGCTTTCAAGAAGGAAGAGAGACAATTATATTATAAATTGCTGGACAACTTAATCTGAGCAGTGTCTCATTTTGGTGTCATAAGTGGAGCTTGAGAGAATAATGCCACATTGAGTGCTGGTATACAGGGCCCATGGAAAAGCTTGTAACCGGTCTTCGAGGAAATGTTCTAAAGCAGCTGGATAGTTCAGGGAATGAGCTAGGTGCGCCAGATGTTTGCCTCTATATTGCTGGTTCAGCCCAGCCCACGGTGGTAATGACTAAAAGTGATCTAAGAACTGTGTGAAATCTGTTTGGGAAGTTTCAGTCATTGAGTAGGAAAGCCGCCAGTAGCATTTTTAATGAGCAGTTTCAGCATAGTAGTGAAAGACAGGAAGACTGAACACCCTTCTTCTGCCTCAAGCTACCTCCAGCTCAGGCCAGCATCATGGAAGTGGCTTCATGGGAGGATTTAACTTACCAAAGCAAAAATCACATGAAAAGAAAATGTGTTGTAAGTGTTATGGTGAAAGTTTATTTCATTTGCTGCTGTTCCAGAGCTATCAAAGGGGAATAGCATTTTAACAACAACCCTCTGGTCCTGACATCACTCGGGCTGGACCTGCATAGGCCTAAAGAGAGAACCATACCCACACTGAGTGTAGTTGCTTTAATACAGTAATATCCATTCAGTAAAGAAGAGCATATACAATCATCTGTATGCAGGGACATGCAGTTTTAACAAAACTCTAACCCAATGCAGATAAAGGCCTCGGAAATCACACCACAACATTCTCTTTTAACCAGCAGGATGACTTAGATATTGAAAGATTAAAAACCAAACCAGAATATAAAATTGCGAAGGAAAACCCCCAGGAAACAAACTGCAAATCTGAATGTCCCGCACACTGAAAAAGTGTATGTTGACATACAGAAAAAAATATAGCTTTCAAGTAATTATGCACAGATACAGGATACCAGAGTCTAAGTAGCAATAAAGTTCTTTACACCAGAACCCTAATGTAAAACTTCACAATATTAGCAAAAGCCCAACCATTGGGGCTTATTTACAGACAAAGACATTAAATAGCACTTTCAAGCAACGATTGTCAGACACAGACATTTCACTTTAACAGCCCAACTGATATACAGAACATTGTACCTTACTTAGTTTGGTTATTGTTAATATACTGATCAGGCTACCCTGGGTTACTATACATTTTAGTGTACTGTTACCCTAGGCCAATTTGCTGTGACAGGCAAAGCATAAAGAGCTGGTTTGAAGGATGGAAAACACCTGCTTGTGGATTTGAGGCAGGCTCACCTGTCAATCAGCAAGGGAAATCTGATGTTATTTCATATTTCCATCGGTTTGATGTCACCTGTTAGCCATTTCCATTGCTTTAGCAGCCCGCTACTGCCATATTCTTATTCCCCTCGCCGCCAAGCACGGAGGGTCTCTCTGCAAAGTTCATCTTCACTAAGAAAAAAGAAAAGGAGTACTTGTGGCACCTTAGAGACTAACCAATTTATTTGAGCATGAGCTTTCGTGAGCCACTAAGAAAAGGAGTCCTTGTGGCACCTTAGAGACTAACCAATTTATTTGAGCATAAGCTTTCGTGAGCTACAGCTCACTTTATGCATCCGATGAAGTGAGCTGTAGCTCATGAAAGCTTATGCTCAAATAAATTGGTTAGTCTCTAAGGTGCCACAAGTACTCCTTTTCTTTTTGCGAATACAGACTAACACGGCTGCTACTCTGAAATCTTCTCTAAGATTCATGTTGGTAGGGGGCTGAATTATTGTGATGTCTATTTCTGAAGTGTGAGGAGTGCCTAGCCTTTTGCCTTGACTTCCCTGCAACTGTGGTTCAAATCAGGCCAGCTACTGGTTGTGAACTCAATGAACACGTACAAACGAGGGACTACAGTTCTAGATGAATGTTTCTTTGAAAGACAAGTTTCTTCCACCCTCCCAATCTGTTTGGTGTTTGACAGTTGTCAGGCTAACACCCAAACACTCCGTTCAGACCAATGCATATGCACTGGCCTTGGATTGAAAAACCTGATGGAAATAATTGCTCAAAGCACCAGCCCAGTAGCCTAGCAAAGGTGGGACGAAAGGTCTTGTGAGTGAGTGCACCTACCAGTTAACTCAACAAGCCTTATGCTACTCTCATAGAGGGTCCGATCCAGCACTTACAGAAGACAATGGAGTCTTTCTATTGACTTCAGTGGGCATTGGATTAAGACCTTCCTCTGTGTTTACACCTTCATTGGCTTCAATAGCGTCACTCCTACTTTACACTAGTATCAGTGAGAGGAGAATCCAGTTCAATGTTCTCAGATACCATGGTGATGAGCACAGTCTATGAACCTAAACAGAAGAGAATGAGGATTTGTGCCTGCTTATTCCAGAGCTGAATTTGGCCCAGGGTCTCTCTTTAAAAAAAAAGAAAAGAAAAAAATCTAGCAAACAAATTTGAACTGGAAGCTTTGGGGCTATTTTAAAATACTTGCTTAAGACAAAGACAGTCCCTGTGTGGTATGGTCCACAGTGCAGGCGTTGTTGTAGGAGGTTGAAAGTAAGAATGAAGCTCTTCTACTCAGACACAGGATAATGGATAGTCACAACCTCCCTCTAACTCATATTTCAAGCAGTCTGTTTCTCTGGGTAGGTGCTCAAAATCCAGTATATGTGTGACTGCAAGAAAAGAGCTACAGGCTGTGTGTGTTATTTTAAAAAGCCCTCTCCCTCCTCTCCGCCCAGTCTCCAAATTGTACGGCTATAACCTTGATCAAGCATCTCCAGGATCAGTCAGCAGCCCAGCTGCATATAGGTGTATGCTCCTATATTCACCTGGATTGGATACCTGCAGCACCAGCCCCTGTACAGCGGGGAAAGCGGCTGCCAAACCCCCTCTGATGCAGGTGGGCAGGGAGGGATGGGCATTGGCTCCTCCCCGAACATGCCAGCCAACAT